AGTGTCTTTAACAATTCAAAAACAAAATACTAAGCCCCCAAAGTACCTTCCCAAAGCCTAAAGCAAAGTCTAGTTTATATACAAAATGTAATTCCAGCTGAAACACCATGCACAGACAAGTCATTATGTCCTGATAAACTAACCAGGGCAACACACAGCGTAACTAGATATGTGGTATTATATTTGAATCAGCAACTTACATTATAATGCATGATTGTGTCATGCTGTTTTCACAGTCAACAGTACGGACAGCTTCCAACTGTGTTTCCATAGTGACAGCTCTGTAGTTCGCCGTGGCATCAATGTCTACTATGATATATGTCCAGGTATGTATATAGTGTTTGTTTTATTACTTTAAATAGATCTACCTTTCTTTTGAAAGCGAAATGTTTCACTTCGAATCCATCATATAATTTCTTTTTCTCATCGATACAATACACTTCTTTGTCGGCCTGAAACGCCATCACTGCTAACCCGTCCTGAAACGTTACAGGCGCACATTCAGTGAACTTCACTACCGCTTACCCGTCCTAAAACGCGACAACATCGCCAACACATCCAGGCAACACAGCCTTCGTTCCAGGCAACACAGCCTTCGTTCCAGGCAACACAACCTTCGCACCAGGCAACACAACATTCGTTCCAGGCAACACCACCTTCGTACCAGGCAACACCACCTTCGTACCAGGCAACACGACCTCCCTTCCAGGCAACACAACCTTCGCACCAGGCAACCTGACGTTCATTCCAGGCAACACGACCTTCGCACCAGGCAACACAACCTTCGCACCAGGCAACACAACCTTCGTACCAGGCAACACCACCTTCGTACCAGGCAACACCACCTTCTCACCAGGCAACACAACCTTCGCACCAGACAACACTACCTTCGCACCAGGCAACACAGCCTTCGTACCAGGCAACACAACCTTCGTACCTGGCAACACGACCATAGCACCTTCCAATGAAACGGGTCCTTACAGCACCATGAAAAGTAAGTTACTGTCATCTTATACCTTTGCTGTATAAAACAGTCATTGTTCAAACATATCAGTCGATATTTGAAATCGATTTCTTCAAATTTACTTATGAGGAATGTTTGTACTTTGGTGTTTCGGAAAAACCGTCAGAAACATCTGCATTATGATGTCAATTCCCATTTCAGTCTGCAACTACGATACTACTGTTCTTGAAGGCACAATAGAACTGGCAACTTCTAGAAATGGTTTCTATGCTGACAACGACGACTGTCGCACCAATCTCCGTTCACCTGCTTTACCCCACGTCACCACGATCACCTTCACCCGCTTTGATGTTGAATATGCTAGAAACTGTCGTTTTGACAGCCTCTCTGTGAGTCTTGGTAACAACATCGTCGACAGACTATGTGGAAACAACAGACGTCCCTTCGTGAAGCGATGTAAGCACATTGTAGGGGTATAAAAGTCTTTTTGCGTTTAGTAGGTTGACTAGCCATTTGTGATCAATTGAAAGAGCAACTGACTTGAATATCGACACACTGCAATTTTATTGCTTTGACTGAATAAACAACTTAACAGTTTGAACTCAATGGTTAACTCAGTGTCAGCTAGGCCTTCTAATCACCACCAATACCTTGATGATCATTAATCCGGATTAGCCGACCATGTCTCGTGTCAAAACACGTGGGACTCTCGCACTTCCCTTCACACGGTTAGCGGTAGATCAATGCTTCGTGCGGATAGGTGAGTCAATTTTGTGTTGATTTAGCCGGTTTGTTTGTAAAATGTACCGTCCAGAAACGGAAACCGAATATCCGTTATAGACAGTCACTTTTATAACGTAAAAGAATGTTTTTTTCTAAAAATTGACCGGAAGGCGAGGCTTCCGGATATCTGGGGTCCGGGTATCCGAGGTCTCACTGTATAAATCTCACCACAGGTACACATGCAACTTTGCACCAGTCTGATATCCAATTGACATATCCATACTTTCCATCAAACGATGAAACAAGAATAAGATTGTATGCGACAGTAATTTTGTTCTATATCAAGGATACCACCACTGACGGTATTCACATATTATATCCATCTAGGAATAGTACCTGTATCCTCATTGTGAGAGCTGAACTTTTTAACCAACAAGCTGCCGCACTGAAACGAAAATACCTAAAGACTGCTTTCTGTACTTTTTTCTCATAGACTCAAAACGTTTACATCACTTGTATGACGTTTATTTTACGCCATTTTGTTCACATGTCATATTGTCAGTAGCGATCTTTAAAATAAAATAAAATGATAGTTTGTTTATTTAACATGGCGGTAAGATAAATACGTTGTATGCTTCTCTCGAGGGTAATACAGTCTGATGTACACCTCTTTGTAGCAGTGTCATCCCTCGCCTACCGGCTCTGGTGATACTGCTACAAAGAGGCGTACGTCAGACCGTATTACTCACGAGAGAAGCATACAACTTATAGTATGCAACTGTATTTTTGTTCTGTCAAGGATACCACCACTGGCGGTTTTCACACATTATATCCATCTAGGAATAGTGCTCGTATCCTCATCCTCGTCCACCAAGCTGACACTCCGAAAAGAAAATACACAAATGATGCTTTCGGTATTTTTTATCATAGACTCAGAATGTTTACATGACTTGTATGACGTCTTTTGACTGTTATCCGCTAACGATTTCTATCCCCCAGACACAAGCGCCGAGCCACTCCTCGCCCTGACATTCACCAGTGACTACAGTGTCACCGGTCTTGGCTTCGCCTTCCATTACAAGACTGAAATAGGCCAGTAACGCATCATCGCATCACATCCTTCATCAGTGGTTATTTATAAACCAATTATATTTACATAAGTTTTACCATTGTTTCATTGCCACGGGACAATGGAAATGAACAGATATGGTTTCAAAATGAACAGTACCCTCGTGTACTTTTAGGTCGATCTGGTTGCACCCAAACATCACCTCACAAACATGATTCTGCTTATCTCCCTTGTCATGTCTGTCATCTGTGTATGTATGTGAATGTGTCTGTGCACGCGTGCGTTTGTGCATGTCTGTCTGTGTGTATATGCACATACTTCTAATATTTTTACCAAAACATCCATCTACATTTCAAATATAATCCTAATTCTGACTATAGTCCGTTTGGCTCAAAAGCGGACCGATGAATTGCAATAATCTAACTCGAAAGCTAATAAACATAAAATACTCAATGAAACACTGATCATAATCAAAACGTCAGACCAACTCTGTGAGGTTTTTGCCGAATTTATGTCCTAAAAATAAAAAAGTTGTTTAACAAACTATCATGAAAATATTGACACAGTTCACTATTTGTTACGAGGGAGGAGTGCAGCGTAAGGGACAGCCATGTGTGCGAGAAAGGATGGAGACAGCACAGCACAGGTTAATGAATCAATAACTTTGTCGGCACTTGTGCATGTGCTTCTCTAACACCTGGCTGTCCCTTTCTCTGCACTCCTCCCTCGTAACAAATAGTGAACTGTGTCCAAATTTTAATGATAGTTTGCTAAACAACTTTTCCAATTTTAGGACATAAATTCTGCAAACGAATCACAGAGTTGGTCTGACGTTTTGATTATGATCAGCGTTTCATTGAGTGTTATATATTTATTAGTTTTCGAGTTAGATTGCAATTCATCGGTCCGATTTTGAGCCAAACAGACTATAAATAACATGCACCATCAAATACTTTATCACTGAATACTTCCTTTTGCAGTGGCATAGACAGGCTGACCAACACACCCAGATCCAGTTGACGTTATGCGAGTAAATAAACTCAGTGTACTCTGTATATCTCGTTTCATTTTTTAATACGTGACTCATTGAATGTGTCGCGTGGCTATAAATGCCTCTGTGAATATTAACAACTTACAACGCGGTACACGGATATGACGTATACGTCGCAGTCCTGTTGGTCCCGTTGTGTTAAAGATGTACACGTATGCAAGTAGATGTACAATGTTTTCGAAGGACTAATACTATGTCATATGTCAACGTGTATCAACAACCCATGACATGGCAGATACAATAGTAAGTCTCGTGAAGACTAATTATACAAAAACATTATCGGTACACGATATTGTTAAAATCGTAATCAGCAAGATCCAGATATAGAGGAACAAATGTTTACATATTCCTGTCACGTGACACAATATCAATATTGATGGGACGGCCGACCATGTCGATTTTCTGGTTTAGAAGCCAACATTTACTGTCGATTGAAGACATACAAACAAATCATACAGTACTGTAGGAAAGTTGTAATCACTACAAACTACAGCCTGATACCATTCTCGTAGAGGACGGCGTCAATACCTACATAGAAACATCCTCATCAACGCGAATATATGTTTCCAATGCCGCACGATAAACAGCGTTGAACGATTTACCATGCTAGTGTTTCAAAGTCGTGAACTGACTTGGATTGCGTTAAGCCTCCCACATACGACAGTTTCGCCGAGACCTGAAAAGCACTAGCTTCCAAGCAACAACAAACATGAATTCAGGAAAGCAGTTACAACTGGAAACCAAATTTAAGGGGACAATTCCTCCCGCTATGTTCACTTGACTTCACTGAATGGTATGTAACTATACGTGTACGGAGTATGGTGGTTTCTGCCCTTCAACTCCTTACAAACCCCAAATGTACATACATACATACATACATACATACATACATACATACATACATACATACATACATACATACATACATACATACATACATACATACATACATACATACATACATACATACATACATACATACATACATACATACATACATACATACATACATACATACATACATACATACATACATACATTGGACCAGACAATCAAATGATTAAGACAGTGAGCAATGATCCACCTCGCCGGTGCAGACATGATGCACAATCAAAGAAGCCTAAAATCGTCCGATTCATGAAGCTGACGCTGAGGCCATGAGGATAAGTGAGATGCAAAAAGAGAGAGAGATGCACCAATCTAACCTGTTTTTTTTCTTTTGTGTACGCAAGGGAATGAGGATATTATTATCGCATACGGAGATAAATTGTACAGACACAGGAGATAAGATAACATGCTATTTCACGTTGGAATGATAATTCAGGACAGGCGGGAGATGGGTAACACTGAAATAAATACGGACAGCCTGAGCCTAAGCCAACGCAGGCTGCTACACCTATATTTTGCAGTGATTCGTCGGCTAAACCTTTTCTGCCACTACAACACCCTAAAACACATTACTCCAGTTTTCCAAAGTAGTGTTCGAGCTGTACTCGTCGTTTGATTGGGTCGGGTATGGGCAATCGTAAAACTAACTCAGGTAAACGTCTCCCAAGAATGTCCCGTACTCGGAAACATGTGATGTCTTGGAGGCTTCTCGGCTGGAAGAGGTACATCTCAAACAGTTCTTCCAATCTCGATAGCCTGAGCCTGTACTTAGGTTTCACTGCTGTTTGGTCTCGGAACCTGGTCAATGTAATTCCGTCACATCGACACCCTGCCTGCATCAGCAACATAAGTCGCCTTGTCCCAACCGCCTTCCAGTTTGACAGCGCCCAAAGGAGGGGTGTACGTCCACGGGAGTCTACAGTGTTCATCGGAGCGTTCCATTTAACCAACACACGAAGCATCTCGTCACCCTTACTATGTCTGACAGCGGCCATGTGCACAGGCGTGTCCCCCAGGACATCACCAATACTTGGATCTGCACCATTTTCAAGTAAGATATTAACTATGTTTGGCATTCCCCTATCAACTGCAAAATATAATGGTGTACAAAGAGAATGGCTGGTTTGCAAATTGACTTTTGCCCCCGATTCGATCAACAGACGAAGTAACACTTCTCCCGAATTGTACAACACAGCCGTATGTAGAGGTGCAAGAGCCCAGCTACGTTTTCCCTCTTTGTTCACGTCAGCTCCCTGTGAAACAAGAAAGTGAAGTTTCTCTTTGTAATCTTTTACACGGGAGATGCCTTTCTTATAGGCAAGATACAAAAGCATCGTCATACCACCCGGATCGATATCATTCACGTCGTAGCCATGACGAAGAAAGATTTTTAGACATGACAAGGAGCCGTCGGCAAGTAGAGCATGTACTAATAGATGCAGCTGCTGGTTGGTTTGCTCTGTATCTGAAGGTGTCATACTGGGAAACAAATACTTCAACATGCTCCCAAACACATCTGCTCTGTTCTGTTGCACTGCTTCTATAACTACGTACACAAGTTTGTTCAGCACCTTCTCGCTTGCTTTAGGGAGGCCTGTGATGATGGAATGGTGTGATTCAAACCACTGCAATGTTTTGGCCACATCGTTCAGGTGGACGGCCTCTCTGAGTTCCCCGATTTGGCCTGTGAGGACCTGAGGGTCACCTTCGTCCATTTTTCATTCTGGCAAAGTCCTCCTGTGACGTTCTGATGATAGAACTGTAAATAGAGAATAAGATCTGCTTGCTATATATTCTATAAAAAACTACAAACAAGAAGTATGGGAACACTCTAAAATTTGATAGTCATATATAAACGTAAACGTGGTGAGGTCATTAATACTCTAAGATACCTGCAACTTTCTGTGTGGTTAATGGACACATTAAACGACATGCTGGAACATGCAGTGAAGTAACTGATTCAATATTCGTTGAGTTTGAGTGAAATGAAACATTGTCAAAAACAGCGAATACAGCCGAAACACATGTACACCAGCACCATGTGTGATTCAAACGCCCAAACACAACAGCCTAGTGCATGTGGAAGACAGACTTCCCTTGCAGGAGGGGTGGATACGGGGTAGAAACGGGGTAGAAACAGGGTAGACACGGGGTGGAGACGGGTGGGGGCGGGGTCGAGACGGGGTGGACACGGGTTGGAGACGGGGGTGGAGGAGGTGTGAAGGCGGGGTGGACACGGGGTGGAGACGTGTTAAGGCGGGGTGGAGACAGGGAGGACACGTGGTGGAGGCGGGGTGGAGACGGGGTAAAGGCGGGTGGAGACGGGGTGGACACGGGTTGAAGGCAGGGTGGAGACGGGGTGAAGATGGGGTGGAGACGGGGTGCAGGCAGGGTGGAGATTGGGTGGAGACGGGGTGTAGGCAGGGTGGAGACGGGGTGAAGGTGGGGTGGAGAAGGGGGTGAAGGCGGGATCGAGATGGGGTGAAGGCGGGATGGAGACGAGGTTAAGGCAGGGTGGAGACGGGGTGAAGGTGGGGTGGAGACGGGGTTAAGGCAGGGTGGAGACGGGGTGAAGGTGGAGTGGAGACGGGGTGAAGGCGGGATAGAGACGGGGTTAAGGCAGGGTGGAAACGGGGTGAAGGTGGGATGGAGACGGTGTGAAGGCGGGTTAGAGACGGGGTGAAGGCGGGATGGAGACGGGGTTAAGGCAGGGTGGAGAAGGGGCGAAGGCGGGATGGAGACGGGGTTAAGGCAGGGTGGAGACGGGGTGAAGGTGGGGTGGACACGGGTGAAGGCGGGTTAGAGACGGGGTTGGGGAGATACCTTTTATGTATGTAGCCTGGGCAGAGGGGAACGCCGGGGGAAAAACATGTGAAAATAAATTGCGATTGTATGGCAATTATCGACCGAGAACTAATATTGATAAAAGAACAACCCACAAAACATTTATAATCGACCGAGGCAAGCTGGTCATGTACACATTGTTTCTCAAGATGAAAAAGAGCTTGCAGATGTCTCTTACATGATATAGAAATCTGATATATTTTTTAGATCATTCACATCCGATTGAACATTACAGATTGTTATAATTTACAAGTAAAATCTAGACATATTTTATTAAATAACGTGGTCATATAGCAACCCATGCTTGTCGTAAAGGGTTGGATGACATGGATTATGCTTGTCATTGTATCCCAGTTGCTTATATCGATGGTCGTGGTGTCAATCACTGGATTGTCTGGTCTAGATTCTTTTACAGACCGCCGTCACATAGCCGGAAGTTTGTTCTGATCATCTGTACAGAATTCTATCTTTGAACTGGCATTGACTATTTAGTCAAAAAGGAGTAGACCGGGTTATTCTGTAACCGGTTTGATAGAAATCAGCCCGCTCAAGTAACGACTCGAGCCTTCCACTCACCTGCCGACATTCAACAAATCTGCGTAGCCCATCCCCACAGTCGACCTGTGAGTGAAATCAATATGGCCGGTGCAGGTAATCAATATTACCTGAAACAGCTGTCTCAAATGAAATCGTTACTGTGTGGTAAAATCCATGTTCACAAGAACTCGCTGAGTTGCTGGACGCCCAACATATTGGTGTGGGCACCCTACTGAATTTTCAAATACGTGGACATTATATCAAAACACACCCGGACTGACGTTGTGAACGTCCCTTGACAACCAAGACGTCACTTCCGGTATGTTGGGCGATATTTTACAGCTGCTTCTACAAATTCACGATTCTAAAGAAAACACGCCAGAGTGCATGTTACGAGTGAATGAGTTTAGTTTTACGCCACTCTCAGCAATATTCCAGCTATATGGAGGCGGTAAGTATATAATGGAGCCGGTACCAGACAATCCAGTAATCGACAGCATGAGCTCTCTATCCCAGCTGTATTATAGGGTTAGTAGACATTCTAATCCACACCGCACTGTACAAATCCACAAAGCGATTTTCATTCGTGAACCGATTATGTCCTTTTTGCAAACATGACATAGAGGATGAATATCATGTTATCATGGTTTGTCCTAAGTACTTGACATTTAGACGTCGCTACCTACCTCTGGACGTATACAAGTCTCCAAACATGATGAAGTTTATAAGTCTTCTACAAACTAAAGTTGAAGTATTAACCTTCAACTTAGCCAAATTTGTTTATCATATATTTCAGGTAAAGCAAAACTATAATCTGAATTATCCATGAATGTTTATTTCCTTTTTAGTGCTATCTTCTGTCACGAAAGGTCTTTGCACGTGGGTTGGGTTGGGTGCGGGGAGGGGGGAGGCAAATGTTGGCAATGCGCTTTTGAAAGTATGTATGATGTATTTGTCATGTTGGCCGTTGGCCTATTAAAGATATAAACTATATAAAACCAGCTTCAGTCTGGGCTAGTACAAGCAGCCGCACCTACACATACACATGCATGCACGTCGTCATATGAGCGAAATATTCTCAAGCACGACGTTTAGCCCAATTTCACCTCACCTATCGTATCTATATCGTATCTATATCGTATTTTATGGTATGTCGTTACGGAGTGAAATGCATGGTGTTTAATGTGTGGAAAACTATGAACGTGCGACTCAATGGAAAACGTCAGGTTTTTCGGGCGGGGTGGGGGTGATGGTGTGTGTTTAGTAATAAACCTAGACTATATTGCCGCTGTAAACAAAAAGTCAATGGCATTAATATAGCATCCTTGTTCAGCGGTAAAGAGAACTCAGATCTAATCTAGATACCTTGTTATCGAGTATGCAACTCGATCGTGGCGATAAACTCCGCCCGCAGCAACCTATGCCGATCGATATAGGCGTCTTGAAAGGCATTGTCAGGATATTAACTTAACAATAGATATACGTGCTATCGCTATGTTGACCAACAAGTCAAGTCGTGTTTTTTGTTTGCAATGGCTTTTTGTTCCCCAAGTGTATTTTTACACCTCGAATTCTCTTTCGCCATGTATCAATTAGATCAAACTTTTTCCTCGGACAAGCTCTCTGTATTTTGACGGTGAGTTATTTTCAAATTCATAAATATTTTAGAATATAGTTCTTAATGCAAAAAGCTGGTTCAACCGATTTGGCCCGCGTAATATTATACAAATATTTATTAGAGTTAACCTATATATGGTTTATAGTGATATCGACTATGGTAGAGTTTCCGTTCATATCGTGTTTGGATATATACATCAATATCATATGTAACTATTAGAGACAAAAATAGCAATTCATTAGTGAAGCGAGTTTTGTAATGGAGATATCTGTGATATTATTGACGGCACCGACTTTATATATACACTAAACGCCAACAGAAACGTTACCCTCCTTCCTTAATGACGGAGGTACCTATCTTCAGCTGGCGTTGTGATGCGTTGACGTACACCTCTTGGTCTGTCTACGGTGATCCCAGTCTGTCTGAAGCCCTGAATAAGTCTTATAACCGTGATACGGTGGCATCCGTGGGCGTTGGCAACAGCATTGTATGTCGACCCCATCTGCACTATCCCAATGGCTCTTTTTCTCCCTTCAGCTGTTAATCGTGGCATATTTCTCGTACTTGTGTATCAGATCATGTCTTCTAGGCTCTCTTTATACCCCATAGAATCATTCTGCATGTGAAATGGACGTAATTGTGTTTGAATATTGCTGCGTTTTGGCGATTGATATTGCTATGTGTAAAATGGAAATGGAAAAATGTTACTTTGCAAACAAATATGTTAACAAAGATAATTTTAGATGTTCCTAAATATTTTTTCACAATATCAAAGACACGTTTTACCTGTTTTCACTAATGCAAATCAGCACAAAACGTTTTAAAAGACTGAAATCATAGCAATGATTATTTTACACACTCTAAAACAGTTGTTTCTTGTTTTAATAGTTAAACTTTACATGGTTTATCATCCTCCCAAAGCATAATATTATTTCAACCTTTCTTTTGGACATCAAAATCACTATTATTGGTTTATTTCGACATGGACGAATATAGGACAATTTAAATCTTCTGAAAAAGATGCATTTCACCTAAATATGAATGCATTTGAGAATTTATTATCGTGATTTGCATAAAGCTTTCTTGTAAAACTAAAACCCTCTAAAATATCTTTGATAGTTTTTCAGTAATTCATAAAGGTAGGAGGGTAAGGTTTCTTTTGGCGTCTGGTGTAGTCGGTCCCAAGCCGGTCCGAAATAGACAGAGTGCACTGTACTGCGGTAGGCATACCAGTAAGAAATCTGCTGGATTGTATTATGATATCCCGTAAATTACGTAACGTTTTTTACATATACCATGAAAAACATGAAATACATTAAAGATCTACGACAGTTCTGTTAACAACCTACAGACTGCATCATAAGGGTGTTCAACAAAGCAGTATTTTGTCTGTAACATTTTTTAGTATAAAAATATAAAAAATCTTTCAAAGGTTTTGAATCACTTTTCGTGGATGATTTTATTGTTTCTTGTCGTGGTAAAAATATGCGTGTAATGGAGAGGCACTTACAACTATGTCTCAATAAAATTCACAAAACTGTTTTAAATTTTCTAAATCAAAAGTATACTGAAAGGCAAAAGAAACGTCATAATAGGTTAACGAGAGATCAACGACAACGAGCCATTGGACGTCTAGAGGCTGGTCAACGCGCTTGAGTTTTTGCTTATGACTTATATTGCAGCGTACGAACTATAGAAGGTCTTAGACAGCGATACAACGCCACCAACAGCACTGATGACCGTCCACGTAGTGGTCGACCCGGTATCTCAACACGTCGCAAGGACCGTCATATCGTCCATCAACACCTCTCGTTATCCTATCCATAGCTGCTGTGTTCCGAAAATAAGTGAATGATTGCCATTCAAGCCGGCAATTTATGCCTGAATGCATGCATGATGCACGTGCAACTCGATTTTAATGTTGTGTTGTGCGAACTATTCCCTCCCAACAAACAAAAACATTTCTAACCTCAGTCTCAAACAATACTTTATTGAGCCCAACAGGCAATATGACCACGATTTATGTTTTCCTCAAACTTGACATCCATTGCATATTTTATAAAAATAGGTTCAAATACTCCATTAATACTTAAATGTCATTTCCAATATTACGACGTTTCTTTTGCCTTTCAGTATATCTTGTATTCATTTCTGTAGAAAATAGCAGTCACATAAGGACCTTGAACTATTTTTAAATGACACACCGATCAAGGTTGTAAAGGAGGCCAAGTTCTTAGGACTTAGGTTTTACTCTCTCATGTAAATGCTTAAAAAATAAATGCCTGAAGGCACTTGACTTGTTGAAAGTCGTTTCTAATTCAAAGTGGGGATGGGATCAAACTACTCTTATATCTTATACTCTTATATCTCATCCACTCGAAACTTGATTACAGCTCCATCGTATATATAGTGGAGCCTGTAACAGTAATCTTAAACTATTAGATTCTGCCCCCCACCACCATGGTCTAAGACTTTGTCTTGGGTCTCTTAGAACTTCTCCTGTTGACAGACTCTGTCGAGGCCGATGAGCCATATCTTAACCAACGCCGTATAAAATTGTCCTTACAATATGCCACAACATTATATTTGAACGAGTTTAACTGTGTTTTCAATCCCCACTATCGGGATCTGTACAAGAAGTCTTCTCTTGTTCCGCCACTTGGAATAAGAGTAAAACCTTTCCTTTCTGCTGCCGGTATTGAGCTGGATAATATATCTCCATCGTATCTTCCCGTCTTTTTCTTCTCCTCCTTGGCAAGTTGTGAGTCTAGAAGTTGACCTCTTACTAACAACATTTATAAAATCAGAAACTAATGAATTACAATGTAAACAAGAATTTAATCAATCAAAAAGTAAATATATTACATAAACATCCCCATTTACAGGTGGATCCAAGGTTGGTGGCGCAGTGGCTTGTGCCACTGTCATTGAATCCAGACCAATATCTTCTAGATTACCAGATGACAGCTCAATTTTCACAGCATAAGCAAACGTCATATTAACAGCCTTAAAATATATTAATAAACACACCAAATATAAATAATAAATCATCTTTTAAGACTCTCTTTCATGCCTTCAGGCTATCAAAATATATCTGTTAAACATCCACTTTTAATTGAAATAATCAAAGTAACTTTAAACATACCACTATCTTTAACCGTAGAATATATGTTATTTTCATTAATGGGTTGATTGTCTTACCTAGATAACGTGTCAACCTACATAAAACTAAGGTTGTTGTATTTAGAAGGGGCGGCGTTTGGCAAAATGTGAAAAATAATTCTATAAAAATGAAGTGATTACAACTGTTAATACATACAGATATCTTGTTATTATTTTTTCTTCTACCCCTAAAATGACTCTATGAGCATCTGATCTAACTCTCCGAGGTAAACGTGCACTGGTGGAAATTCTCCATAACTTGAATAAATTAAATACTATTGACCCTACTGTATTTTTTAAAATTTTTGATTCACAGGTTCAACCTATCTTATTATACGGGTCTGAAGTGTGGGGACCTAATATATTTGAGAAAATTGAAAATGTACATCTTTTTGCATGTAAAAGATTTCTAAATGTTGGTCGACAAACGCCAAATGCTATAGCTTACGGCGAATGTGGCCGATATCCATTATGTATCAATGCCTTATGTCGGGCTGTTAAA